CAAATAAATCCACACCAACTCACATAATAATCAAAACTCCAGAAATTCCACACAAGAACAAAATATGAAAAGCTGTTAGGGAAAAGAAACAAATCAACTATAAAGGAAGGCCCATCAGAATCACAGCAGACTTCTCAACACAAACCCTTCCAGCAAGGACAGCCGGGAGTGAAATATTTCAAGCCCTATAAGAAAACAATCTCCAACCCAGACTGATGTACCCCACAAAACTATCTTTGAAAATCAACGGAGAAATAAAATACTTCCATGACAAAGAACAACTGAAGAAATTCACAACCAACAAACCAACTCTATAAAGTGTACTGAAGGGCATTTTAGGAAGAGATAAGGACAATCACAATTATAAGAACACCAACAGAAAGAAGCCACCAGGCAGGGGAAGCAATTAAACAGACAGGAAAGATGGAACCAACAGCCGGAAAACAGTATGACAAGGATAACAATATAGACCTGCTATAACCATCAATGTAAATGGTCTCAATTCACCAATAAAAACAGACTGGCAAAATGGATCAAGAAACAAGATGCAACAATATGTTGCATATAGAAAACACATTTAACTCAAAAAGTAATTCATGGACTGAAAGTTAAAGGGTGGAAAACAATGTTCCATGCAACAGGAACCCAGAAAAAAAGCAGAGGTAGCTATTCTATTTGCAGACAATGTGAACTTCAAGTCAAGACTGATCAAAACAGACAAAGTAGGTCACTACTTACCTGTTAAGGGAAAACTCCAAGAAGATGGGCTGGGGATTTGCCTCAGCAGCAATGTGCCTGCCTCACAAGCACAAGGTTCTGAGTTCGATGCCCGGTACAAGAAGAAGGAGAAGGAGAAGGAGAAGGAGAAGGAGAAGGAGAAGGAGAAGGAGAAGGAGAAGGAGAAGGAGAAGGAGAAGGAGAAGGAGAAGAAGAAGAAGAAGAAAGAAGAAGGAGGAGGAGGGAGGAGGAGACGGAGGAGGGAAGAGGGCAGAGGGAGGAGGAGAAGAGATAACAATTATAAATATATATTCACCATAAATATACTACCCAGTTATATAAAACAAATATTAATGGACATTAAAAATCACTAACACAATTGTAATGAGGGACCTTAATACCCCACTGTCACAAGCAGATCAACCAGACAAAAAAAATCAACAAAAAGATATCAGAAATGAACCGAATTTGTGAACAAATGGACTTGATAGATGTCTAAGGAGCGTCCCACCACAAAACTTCAGAATACACATTCTTCTCAGCTGCACATGGGATGTTCTCCAAAACAGACCACATACCAGCTCATAGAAGATGCTTAGGTAAATGCAAAGGAACTGAAATTATCCTATGCATATCATCTGACCACAGTGCAATGAAATTGGATATCAATGACAAAAGAAACCACAAAAACCCCATAAACACATGGAAATTAAATAACACCCTCTGAATAACCAGTGGGTCACAAATGAAATTAAAGGAAAAATTAAACAGTATCTATAATCAAATAATACCAATACAACATACTATAACTGATGGGATGCAATTCAAGCAGTGTTATGAGGAAAATTTATAGAAATCAAAATAAATACATCAATGAGAGAAAAAGTTATATGGTTCAACCTAAAGATGATAAAAGTCCAAAATAATTTATACTAAAAACTTAAATTACTAAAACTATGAATAAAAGGAACTATGACGGATAATATTTAATAAAAATAAACCATAAACAATGAACACTAAGTCCATTTTTAAGATAAAGAAAAAGTCAAGATAGGGCCAAGGAAGTAGCTCAGCGGCACAGAGACTGCCTGACAAATGGGAGCTCCTGAGTTCAAACCCTGGTACCAACGAAAAAAGAAAAAGAAAGCCAAGATAAACATTCAAAAGAAAAGATAAATTTAACTCATCATCTTTTGTGTTGGTGCTGGTGATCAAGCCAAGGGCCTTATGCATTCTAGGCAAGTGCTCTACAAACTGAGCTCCATCCCCAGTCTAAGTACAAGATTTTTATATTTAGGAAATATAATAGATTAATTGAGAAATAAAAACTAGGTTTAATAATAAAATTCTGGTAAAGGTATGATATGGTTACAGTAACTAACAAGTTGGTCAGGAGAGCAGAATGCAGTTCCCAGAACTAGAACCTACTTTTATGGGGAATAAACATAGGACAAAAAGAATATTTCAGTTAGTAAAGGAAATGGCAGTTTATATAACTAATGGTGTTGACACAAGTAACTATCCATTTGGAAGAAAATAAGAGTGGAATTCCGATCTTAAATTTGACACAAAAATAAAATTTTTGATGGATTAAAGGTGTAAAAGTTTTTTTAAAAAAAATCATAGAGAAGAGGAAACTGAGGATCTTCTACATATAAGTTAAGAATTAGGAAGATCTTTTTCACTAAGGCAGAACATTAATTTTTAGAAAGACATATTTGACAATATAGAAATAAGCCAAGAAATTTCCCTGGTAATTGATATCATAAATAAACTAAAAAGCATAACAAATATTAGAAAAACTTGTACAACACTTAGGAGCACTAAAGAGCTCCCTATAACAAGAAGCTACAAAGAGTATCCATAATTGGCAACAAAGACGAACAGATCAGTAGACAAATAAGATATTAGCAGGCACTTCAGAGAAGAGCAGATCCTTTAGACATAAATATCTGAGAACATAGTCTGCCACTCTGGCATCAGAGGAATATAAAATTACAATCAGATTCCATTTTATGCCCTTCAGGACTGCCAAAATAAAATTATTTAAAAAAGGCAAATTTATAATAAAGGGGATGCTGGGCTGGAACACACTGTCAGTGGAAATGTGGACTGTCATACGACTTTATAAAGCACCTTTAACATATCCATCAAAATAAAAATTACACATTTTCTTTATACTCAGAATTCCTCAAACTCTATCCCAGAGAAGTAGAAGCCCTAATATGTAAGAACACACACACATGAGTATTTATTGCAGCACTGCAGTGAATGACAAGAGATAAGAGCCAAGGTGAATATAAAAGTTGAGTAACATAAACCACGCTCACGCCGTAGAATATTACAGGGTCATTAAAAACAGTGAGCTAGCTGACCGGAGGATTTCTGAGACGTACAGGTAAATTAAGACAGATGCAGAGCGTACACAGTGCAACCCATCCTCACTCTCATTTTTAATAATGACCAGATCTATATATGTCTATACATATATACATAGTATATATAATTATACAGTGCACAGAGAAAGACACGGAAGTTTGCATACCAGATCGGAACGCCGCATACTCAAAAGAGGGTGATAAAGAGGGTGGTTAGTGGGAGGAAATGGGGAGAAGATGAGGAAGCTGCAATAAGAAATGTAACGTGTGGGGCTGGGGATTTAGCTCAGTGACACAGTCCCTGCCTTGCAGTACTGCAAAGAGGGGTGGGGAGGGAGAGAAAGGAAGGAAATGTAACATGTACCAAAGCTAATTTTTAAATTCACGCTAAGACATTTTTCAGTATGTATCTTGTTTTAAACACAATGGGATCCTACCCTGGATACGATTTGGAATCCTACATTTTCTCCTAAAGTTGGTACATCACGTGTGTGTTTCCCTATCTGTAATGTTAGGTCCTTTCCAGGTCCAGCTTCCCAAAAAGGCAATTTGAAGAGAGGCACAGAGGATCAGCCACACAGATACTTCAGAGAACACCCAAGGATCCATCAGCCTCTGGTGTTTATGAGGACACGTTCTTCCGGGCACTGATAATGCCAGCCCGGATGCCTTCACATCTTAACCCTCCAGCTAATGCCCCTGGACTCGGGCCTTCTGAACTCCGGACCCCCGCTTCCCAGGGCAGAACATTCTAAGTGACTTCTGGCCACAGCCCTGCCAAGGCCCCATCTGCAGAGATGATTTCCCCACAGGGCATTTCCTAAGAGCAGCGACATGAATTAAAGATAAAAAATTGGTAGTGCAAAAGAGCCAAAATCAACCTTGCTGAGAAATACAGAACATTCACGGCAACTCTCATTTAGGCCGGAAGGGTAAGAGCAAGAGAATGCCAAGTTCAAATTTCACTGAATTGCCCCCTTTTAGAGCAACTGGCAGGCTCTGAGCAGTTAAAACCCTTAAACCCCAAACACTGCACTGAATACAGTCCCCAGTGAGTACAGTATAATGTTTCCAACTGGGAGAATCTGTTTACTTTCAGGCACATTCTCATTTTAGAACAAAAATAAGCAAATGGCTTTATTTTCAAATCCTTCCAATCTGGCCCATTCTTGGTTTCCATGGATCTCTGGTTATGCTTGCTGAACACCACACTTCAGGAGGACCCCCCTCGCCCTAGCCTGTGCCCACACAATCTCCCCATCTCTAACGCCTACAAAACTGACCTCCTGACTTGCAGGAAGAAATCCTAGAGGAAGTTTTTTCCTACATTGTGTTGGTCATGTCCCCTCAACTGCCTTAGAAAATAGTGTTGGTGTGGTAAGACAACGGTGACACCCACGTGCTTGTGCTCTCCCTGCATTCCACCTACTCATGCTCACTTGGCCCTGTCCCAGCCCCTAACCACCACAGATAACCAGGCCCCAGGGGCTCCCTGGCTCCCTGGGAAGTGTATTCCTGAGCCTAGAGCAAAGATGCCAGGAAACAGCCCACTTCCTGTCTTTTCCCAAAGTCCATATTTAACAGAAAGAATAAAACGCCCAGAGGGTAAAGAAAAATGCATTGTCTTTGAGAATTAGAGAGAGAGAGAGATAGAGGGAACACCTGAGTGTGGAAAGAGCAGAAGGCAGCCAGTCTGAGAGTGGTGGGGTGGTGGAAGGGCTGTTAAGCAGGGCCCAAGAACAATGCCAATAGGTACCACTATGGAGGCCAGCCCCTAGCCCTAGGGCATCCTGTCATCACCAGGAACCCAGGAGGAAGAGCCAGAGTATGATGAAGACCCGGCCAACAATGACGTTACAGATGTGATCCTGATGCCTAGAAGATTAAAGGCTCTTCCCACATTACCTGGCATCCAGGGAGCCTCCTCAGTCCTGGTGAAGCTCTAAGTAGATGAAGAATTCCCATACCCTGGAGAGAACAAAAGCTAAGAATCAAATTAACTCGAAGTAAGTAAGGAAATGTGGCACCAGCTACAGGCTTTGATTTGTGGAATATGTCTCACACAAGCACGTTATATACAAGACCTTCCCCCAGTATACAAATTCTCAAACGTTCACTGCACACAGAGCACCTAGGGAACTTGTTACAGTGTGGATTTTGAATCAGTAAGCCTGGAAGAGCTTGAGATTTTTCCGCATTTCCAACAGACTTACAGACAACACTAACAGCCCTGGTCCCATGAATCACACTTGGAGAAGCAAAGATCTAGGACACAGATTAGCAAACAGCTCTTACAACGAGCCACAGATTTCACAGTCCTGACCACAAGTGCTCAACTCTGCCATTATAGAACAAAAGCAGCCATAGACAATTTTTAAAGGAGTGTGGCTGTGTTCCAACAAAACTTTAGTGGTGGACAATGAAATCTGAATTTCATGTAATTTTCAGCATGAAGTATTCTTCTGTGGAGTTGTTTCCCAACCAGTTAAGGAGACAGCCAGCATTCTTTGTCCATAGACCAACCAGAAAGCAAGGAAAACTAGAGCTGGACATGGTCCACGGACTGACCGCAGGTCAAACTGTCCCGAACAGCACAGAATCCATGGTACTGGTTCCTTGACTGGTTCCACAAAAGTGGGTTGCTCAGTTAGCCTATTTTCTCTATTGAAGCTGTTTCTTTTCTTTTCTTTCCCCTTCTCTTTTGCATCAGTGCTGTATTTCTGAAACAGCAGACGCTGTGGGGACAAATGGATCCTGGCAAATACTTTTTCAAAAATCACTAAACTTTAAAAGACTGCCCTAAATCCTCCTTCTTCTAATAAGAGACCCTGTGGAATAACAGGTTCCTATTTTAGTGAAACAGCTTTAAGGATGAGATTAAACTCCAACCACAGTTCTCTGAGCTAACAGAAGAACGACGTGATGGGGGAGAGAGTCAATCTTGCAGAACAACTCCCAGTAAATTCAAAAGCAACCTTCTCCAACTTTTATCCCAGTGAAGCTCTGCAAAGATTCTCTCCATCCCCTCAGACTCACATTGCACTTTAGCTCAAAAGAGACAAAAGATTCCTATCCACCTTGCAGTCCCTTCCACCATTAAGCAGTCATCTCAGGACAGTTCTATCTTTTCAGTAATGTATCAGAGAATCCCAGAGTCCAGTGGGATGCAGACTTCTAGACACAGAGATGGCCAGGGACCAGCAGAACCACTGTTCCACACTTCACTACTCCCTCAGAACTTCCTGGGGGCAAAGCAGGCAGAACCCAGAACAGGCATCTCTGTGTCCATCCCCACAGCAGTGAGTTTGCTGGATGAACAGATGAACTTGACCCAGGGGCCCGGTATAGGTGGTTTTGCCCACTGTGCCTCTCTACATTAAACAGACACTCAAAGAGGAAAACTCAAGGAGCTCACCTTACCTTTTGCTTTTGCTAAATATCCCAGTGGCATCCCAGCCTGGTCTTACCTCTACCACTTATAACTGCTATTGACACGGGCAGGTTATTGGACCTTTAGGAACCTCAAGCTCCTTGCTGAAAATAAGGATAATCAATACATCATCCAAAGACAATATTCAAAAGAGAAAAATTTAGCATCTGGTAAGTGCCCTCCCTGCATTTCACCTGATCACGCCCACCCAGCACTGCCCCAGCCCCTGACCTCAGCAGGTAACCAGGTCCTGTGGCTCTCAGACTCCCTGGGAAATGCAATCCTGAGCCTACCACTATTTAATGAGAAGAGTGCCAGTCTTAAGTGGCCAGCACAACTGTCCTGACATGCACAGAAATCTCAGCCTGCCCACCTCATGGGAAGGTTGTAAAAGATGAATGACTTATATAAATAAAGCCCCTAGGCTTCTCCAAAGAGAAGCCTCTCCTTTCTATGCATACCTAGCATGTAAAGGAGGCCACTGACAAATTTCACTTCTCACACTTCATGCCGGGTACCAGAAATCACTCATACCACTTACAGAGGACACAGCCAGAGCTTGCCTTGACCCTAGCTTCTCTCTCCAGGTATCTCGGAGAGCTTCCAAGGGCTCCTCCAGATCACCTGCTCTCAAAATTGAGCCAGCTGAGGCAGGAAGCAGCTGGCCCCTCACACTGCTGTGGACACATAGTCAACTGCAGAGAGACTTTATTTGGTGGGGAAGGATGAGGGAATTCGGGTACTTGAAGAACCCAACTCCCCATCCCATTCTCCTTGAATCCAGAATAACAAGGGCCAACACTCATGTGCCACAAAAAAGCAACAAGGTCACTGCCTCGGTTATTAACCTGCTCATGCTTTCACAAAGAAAACCCTTTGATTTCTCACCCCTCACGAAGACTGTGCCCATGGGGTAGACCAGCATCCAGCCGCCTACTTCCTTCCTGAGAAGACCTTCCACACTCCATCAAGGCCCCAACTTGAGACACGCAAGTCCTGTCAGCTGCCTGAGCCCCATGCTGAGACCAGAACAAAACCAGAACAGGATTGGATGGCAGCTCAGTAAACAACATGTTTAGTACGATGGTAAAACAGTACATGGGAAATTTCAACACAGAAAGAGGAGAAAGAAAATAGCACGCCACAAAAAGGAATATATTTTTAAAAACAGAGAATATCATAAATGTGCTTATAGATAATAGCAGGTATTTGTTTTGAGTGCTAATAATCTAATTAGCAGTCAAACCAAGGCAGCCTCTACTATCAGCTGATCTATAATTACTGCTCCATGCTGAGTATTTTCCCGGCACATGATAGCTTTCAACTCCTCAGCACAAACAACCAAATAATTGGTGTTATTATGCTAGATACAGGACGATTCCTCTCTGAGGGGTGATGCTGGAGAGTTTTTAGCCATCTACTCCAACCTTTGTATTCTGAGCATCTGTTGACTAATTCTTCTCTGACTGCTCTGTAATCAGTCACTTCTCTAGCATTCTCAAAAAAGTGATAGTGTGGAGACTTCCCATTTTACGGTTTTTGAGCTGGGGACATGAAGCATTCCTCGTCCCGTTAGCAGAGCAGTGTTCATAAGGGGATGTCAGATAGTGGGGAAGGCATAACATATTGTTCTCTGAAAACACCGTAAAGTTCTCTCTGAATATTACTTTAAAAACGATGACTCATCTTGGAAGAGACAGCTTTGGAGACAAAATTATTTCATTCAACAGTTTGTGATCTAAACAGAGTGTGCATAATTCTGAGAGGCAAAATAAAAACACAAGATTCTAGAGGCTAGTTTCCAAAGGGGAAAAATGTTCAACTCTTCCCTTTGAAGAGACCAATTCCAGTATGACTATATGGGGAGAGAAGCCAGCCTCGGGCAAGCATGGCGAAGTGGAAAGAGAACAGAGTGGAAAGAGAAGAGGAGCTTTGGAGTCAGACAGGTCTGGTTTAGAATCTAGAGCCTCTGCTTCCTTATAGGCAGCCTAACTTTGAGTGCTCAAGCCTTGGTGTTCCTCTCCTAAAAATCAAAGGTAATGATGCCTACTACCCAGGGTGCTTATAAAGCACAGGTGACTAACACAGGAAGCAGCCAGAACATATGGACTCAGGGTTAGTTCTCCACCTTTATTTATTTAATTTTTTTTTACAGATGCAAAACAGAACTAGATTTTCTATGAGCCAGTAGCTTATACCATATAAATGCATTCTCTACAATGAAGCCTCCACCATTTTTTTTTTTTAATGTTTACGCAGAGGTAGATTTCAGACAAGCTATGTTATGGACCAAAATCCTATTTACAGTTCCCATTGCCCCAAGTGCCTTCTCACTAGCCTGCCCTCTAGGGTCCTCATCTTCCTCCGATTCAGCAAGGGAAGGCCTAACAGTTGGCATGGACAACAGTACCACACCACTTGTGAAATGCCTTCCTCGGTACAAAAGGAAACACATTTGGGAAACTGCAAAGTCAAACCAAGACCTTTCTCCAAAGACTTTCTTTTTCAGGGAACAGAAATCAGTGGTTATAAAAAGAATGGAAACTGCTGTGAAGGCTCTGCCCTGAAATGAGGGGCTAAAACCTGAAGTCACACTCTAGCCTCACACTCGGTTCAGATATTTCTTTTTGAACTTTCTATTGAAGTGGAGCATACAAAGAGAAAAAGAATATGTAGTCAGTGAGTTTTCACAAAGTGAACACACCTATATCACCACCACCACCCAGATCAAGAACCTGAATAGCACCAGGCCCTCCAAAATACCCCCACTCACCACGTCCAGCAAAGGCCCACATAAAGCTGATTCCCTAAACCAGAGATCAGTTTTGCTTGTTCCTGCACTGTACTAAGTGGAATCCCACAATCTCTAGTCCCATTGGGGCCGCCTGCCACCCATCTCGATACACCCTACACACTAAAAATGGATTTTATACTTACAAAAATTTGAAAATAACATCAACACAAGAATATTTCACACGATGTGAAAAATACATGAAATTCAAATTCCAGTGAAATAAGTGAAGTTTTCTTAGGCATTTCTCCTGCACCTGCCTTGTGTTTCAAGCAGGATGTGTTAGGGCTTTTCACTCATTTACACACTGTCTTTCGCATTCCAAATGCAGAGTTGAATAGTTAAAACAGAAACCATGTAACCTAAAATGGGAGGAAAAAAAAAAAAAAGTATTATCCGGCCATTGACAAAAAAAGTTGGCTGACTCCAATTTGAGTGGGTGGCAGTCTGCAACTGAGTGCCTTTGCACTGCAGTTGGGTTTATATTTAGTAGCAAAATCACAGGGTCATAGATGTACACCTAGATTCAGTTGTAGTAGACACTGCCAAAAGTTTTCCAAAGTACATTCTCGGTTTTGAGTGAAAAGCTAAAGCACAGAGGGCGAATCCTTGTCTCAGTTTGAAGGGAGCCAGAAAGAACTACAGAGTTGATCTGATCCAGAATTGAGCAAATGATAAAAAAGCCATCAGGGCCGCTGAGCAGGGAGGGAAAGTATTAGAACCAGTTTATCTTACATTTATTTTCAT